TGCTGGAAATGCCGCCCGTGTTGGTGATGGTGCCTTGCAGGTGAGAGAGACCGGGCACATCATGCTTGAAATGGCATGGCACCTTGGTCGCCTCGCACAGGATGGACGAGAGGTCCCAATAGCTGGCATTCATGGCCGTGTCCTGAGCAGTCGCGCGCGCAATATATGGATGGTAGAGTCGTGGTCGAGAACCTGCAAGGCGGATCTTGACATTCCGCTTCTCGCCGCTTGTTTTGCCGGCGTGTTGGGCTCGCGCGAACGCGTCCATCATGATTCTGCGCGTCGGACGCGTTGAGGCGGTGCTGCACAAGCGCGGCTCAAAATCTGAACGCACGCACAGATTCACGTTTTGGTGTGTCTGATGCTTGCCGGCACGATAAAAGGCAAGTGTGTCATTGCTGATTATCTCGTACAACACCTCACGCCTTCACTTGATCCCTTGGCAAGAGACGTAATGACCCGAATGATTCCTTGTGAGGCAGACGGTCCGTCGTAATGTGGCTGGTTCCACAAACGGCACGTCCCAAAGCAGATCGATATGAAATGCCATCTGCATCGAGGGCGACACGTATGTCACATTCTACACACAAGAGTCTTTCGACTGCTGAAAGAGAACATCGTCCCGCAGTGGCTGCGACGTCTGCGTCGCAGCCATTGGACTTGATGATTTCCCGCTCTTTCAGATCAGATTGGAACCAGATGAGGGCGCAAAATCACGAACAATGTATAGGCGCGACACCTACAGTCTAAGGTGAAACTAAGCTCGCCGAGGTGACGTTTGATGACTTTAGGTTCATGTCCAGTACAAATTTGCCAATGAAGCAAAGAAGCTCAAAGGTGGGAGTCTCTCATTGACAGCTGAGCACACGGGCGCGTTGATACGACAGCCCAAGAAAGGCCTATGAATCCTCAGCTACGTGCCTCTCTACAAGCTAGTCGCGAGTGCAAGCAAAGACCGCTGTGCACCGTCCACTCAAATTAGCAGAACCACAATGACTGGGTTAAAAGAGAAAACTCCCAGGCGTCCCAAATTGCTCTACGGCGGGAACTCGCGCCGGCTCTTGGCGCGGGGTGATGAAGATTTCGGTCAAAAAGAAAAGGCACACTGCCGGATTCGAGAAAAATATGCACTGTGGGGGTCGAACCCACGACTTTCTCCTTGCGATTCTTCAGACGTTCGGGCGGTAAAACGCCCTCCGTCCGAATTACGGCATGCTAAGATGTTCCTAATTAGGAGGGAGACGCGCTACCACTGCG